GTCAAGTGTTCAACCTTTATAGTAATTCACACGAACGCTTGTAAAAGAATCTTTTCTAAGGTATGGTAGAACACAAAATCATACTCTAGCTAGTAAGCATTTGCAAAACCTCTTATATTCTCTCAAATTTTGTTTAGACTCTCTTAACTAGTTTTTGCCTTGAGAGAAATTTGCTTATTACTTATAAGAATTGTACAAGAATAGTTACGGCTTGATGTTCCTTTTACAGGGAAAGTATTCGATCACATTAAGTTTAATGCATGAAATACATATTTTCATAATTAACTCCATACTAGTCGAATGCATCAAAATAAAGAAAAACTTTCTCTTGTTTTATTTTCTCTATTTTTTGGTCATATCGAAATCAAATTAAGTTCAACTTAATTTGTTGCAATTTTAATATTTCACAATTGTTCTAATATGTGTGACCCATTCGATTTCTTAGCATGTTAGCAATAAAAATAAGCATTGTGAGCCATTACATTCCGCTATGGATGAATCAAACTTTGTCTTCATCACTAATTCTCTAATTAGTTAATTTTATGTTTATAGATTTTGCTCAACACTAGCTTTATTGTTGACTCTCAATTGTTAAAAAAAAATCAATATGACTTGATAACCTATCCATGAATGGTCTTAGTGTATAATTAATGTTATTTTATCATATAGTATCTCAATTTGAACATTGAACATGAGTTAGTATCTACTCAATCTTGTTTAATTATGTTAAGTATTGTGCTTTACATTAACTCACAAATAAATTTTAGAATAATTTTAAACTCTTATTTTATTTTGGTCAAAGATTTCACAAGTTAATTCAATTAAAACTAATTGAAAGACTCTTTTAATCACACAAGATAATGAATCTCATCTTGATTACTTCATACATCTTTATATGCTTCATGTTTACCCAACCTTTAATCAATGAGATCGGTCGCTTGTCTTATATGTCATAACATAACCATATACTAGTCTTAATAGCTTTTGTTAATATTCTTTTATTGATAAAGCATCGACTATGAACTATTTTAGAACATATAGCTTTTATGCAATGATAATCTCATAATTACAATCTTATTGTAATTTTCTTACAAAACTTTATTTATACTTTGAGGACTTTATCATATAAGTATCAACATTGAAATACATGTAAACAAACTTAATGATAAATAAATATATAAGACATTAATAAGATATCAAATATAAAAATACTACAAATATAATAATGTCTTAGCCCAAATATGATTTAACTTAAAGGGTAAATACCAACACAATAATGTGGTAAGAAGTGATAAAATTAAATATTTGCATTCCCTTTGATTTAAGTCAGGAATTTATTATCAATAAACTTTTTATTTTTGTCAAGTTTTTGATTGAAAGATGTGAGAATCATTCTATATAACATTTTCAAATTGCAAGTTGAAACCATTGGAATTACTTTTGACATTATGACTCATAACATTGCTATTGGATTTCTGCTTTCTATCTTTTAATGTTATACAAGAAAATCAAAGAAACTATTATTTTTATGTGGATTGATGTGATTGAAGAAATAAAAAAAAATCAGTTAAAATGAAGAAACAATACATTAGTAAAATGTTGTCTAAATTTCTATTTTAAAGAGTAAAACCTGTATAGAAAATAGAATGATAGCTTATAGCTAGGAAAGTGTTGGTGGACAACTCGAATTTAAACCGATCCTCCGTTTGTTAACTCTTGATTCAATAGTAGATCTAATGATTACAAAATACAAAGTATCAACAACAAATTCAAATTTATATTTTATAATTTTGGGATTGGTTGTATAAAAGATTTAAAAAAAATCATGTTAGGTTCTACCTTTGATTTTCTTTTGCCATTCATTTTTATAAAAAACAATTATTTTTCTATTTTTTTAACTCTCATATGATTTCTTATTACTTATATTTATGTCTTTTATGGTCTACTTTTAGAAGTTTTGATCTTTTTCAAATCCAAAAGCTTATTTTCCCTAACTAATACACAGATAAGTTTATGCTTCACATATTCAAACCATATTAAATGATCATCTTTTATCTTTTTCTCAATTCGAACTACCCATAATTTTTCTTAAATCTTTTTATTTTTTTATTTTTTTCTCTTTTATTTTTATCACACATCCATCTAAACATCTTTATCTCAACTATGCTCATTTTCTTCTCATGTTATTTCTTAACAGCCTAACACTTAATTGCATTATCAAGCCTTATAGTTGTTTTACTTTGCTTTAAACTTTAGAGGCATGTTGCGATTACACAGCATACCCGATGCATTTCGTTACTGTATCCTTCTTACTTGAATCTGTGATTTACATTCCTTTCTATCTTAGCAATTCTTTGAATAGTTGATCTAAAATATAAAAAATTACTATTTTTGCATACTACTTGGCCATCTATTTTAATCATATTAGTACTCGTTTTTCTATGACTACTAAACTTGCATTCCATATATTCAGTGTTAGATTTATTTAATTTAAAGTTTTGAAACTCCAACATATGCCTCCAGAATTTTAATTTCGCATTAAGATCATCATTAGTTTTAGCAATTAAGACTATATCGTTGGTAAATAATATACACTGGAACATCTTATTTTAGATAGGTCTAATGAGCTCGTTCATGACTAATACAAAAAGAAAAAGACTTAGTGTTGAGCCTTGATGCAATCCTAAAGTAATAAAAAAGCTATCAGTCAAGCCCTTGAACAATCTAGCATTCGTTGTAACTCTTTTGTACATATCTTTAACTATGTTAATATACTTTAAAGGAACTTCTTTCTTTATTAATGCCCATCAAAACACCTTTAGGGGAACTTTATCGTATATTTTTTCAAAGTCAATAAATATCATTTGTAGATCTTTCTTTTTTACTCGAAAACCTTATAATAAAAGCTTCAATAGGTGAATTATCTTTAATGTGGATCGTCCCAACAGAAACCTAAGTTAGTTTTTGGAAATTATGACCTCATGTAGCAATCTACATTCAATTACTCTTTTTCAAAGTTTTGTAGAATAACTCGTAAGCTTTATTTTTCAATAGTTCAAACAATTTTGTCTATCATCTTTATCTTTGTATAAAAGCACTAGAAGAATCTTCCTCTGTTCTTCTAACATCTTTTGAGCACATAAAATTTTGTTGAAAAGATCTATCAACTATCCTATCCTTATTTCACCCAAGCATTTTCAAACCTCAATCAGGATCTCATCTAGTCTTATAGATTTTTTTGCTTTTATATTTCTCAAAGCCTTTTTAATATCATTCCTTTTATTATTATGTTTAAACACATAATTTATATCATTATATGATATGTTAAGTTCACCTATATCATGTTCAAAATTGTTATTAAAGATTATCAAAATAATTTTTCCATCGTTTCTTAATCTCTTCATCATTTACGAAATTACTTTTATCGTCACGTTTGATGCATTTTATGCCATTAAGACCTCTATTTTTCTTATTCCTTATCTTAGCAATTTTGAATAACTTTTTTTTCTATCTTTTATCTTCAACTTTCTATATAATCCCTTATAGATCCTAAGTTTTGGATCTCGAATAACCTTTTTGGCTTTCTTTTTTGATGTCTTATATTTCAGATAATTTGCCTCATCCCTATTACTCTTTAAACTCCTATGACATTCCCACTTAGCTTTAATTCATTTTCACATCCTCATTCCACCATCAAGATTCCTTTTCCAAAGGCATACAAACTTTAAATTTGCTAAGAATCTTTTTAGCAACCCTTTGAATTCTAGTAGAAATTTTTTTTTCACATTACTTCTACATTCTTATCAGATTTTCAATCAACCTCTTTTATTAGTTTATCCTTAAAAGCTAAACATTTTGTCTACCTTTAAGTTATAGCATTTAATACATGATTCGTAAATTTAACGAATGCTCATTAACCCTCTAAGGTGAAAGATATCTAAAATTAATAGTTTATGTTTTATTTTCACACTCACTCAATATAACTTTACAATATTATAGCGACTTCTATAATTTTTTCTCATAAAAAAAAGTCAATTTGACTAATGTTTAACCCATTTTTAAAAGTCACCAAATGTTATTCTTTTTCTTAAAACATGTATTTAATATAATTAAATCAAATACAGTAACAAACTCTAAAATATTATCCTCGATATCGTTTCTTTTTCCAAAGTTATATCTTTCATACACTTTCTCAAAGTTATTATAATCCTCTCATAACATAAATTTAACATATAAAATTCTTTCTTTTAACCTTAACCACATCATCTTCAAGTTCTTATCTACAATTATTCTCACTCCATTTTTACCATTATCTTCATTGTGTACCAAAGTTTAAAACCCTATATTTCTCTCTCTAGCCTTTTTTTCAATTCACTTAATTTCTTAAAGACTCGTAATATTAATTTCTCTCCTAATCATGACCCCTCCTATCTCTAATAATTTACGGATTAATGTTCAATTAATGATCTGGTAATAGCCAAGTATAACTCACTCCCATAGACTAACTTTTTCGAGTGACGACCAGCAATCCTTACCAATTTAACACTATACTCAAACTCCAACATAACACGTTGCTAGAGGGCAACGATCCAATTATAATTTTTATTTTAATCTTTCATCATAATTAGACTATGTATCATGCTAGCCATCATCCCATCACAATCATCCGCACTTTATCTAGGATTAGGATCCAGTGTGGTAACACACAGGCTGAATTATTACACAATACAAATATGATAAAAAAATATAAAAATTATATGAATTAAAATTTTAACAAAAATCATATATAAATTTGATAAAAATGAAAAAAAAAAATGAATTCATTTGAAATAATCATTACTCTAAAAAAAATTCTTCCTGCGTTAGTTTCAAGTAAGAAAAAAAATTGATCTCTTTTTCCCTTTTTGAAATAAAAAAGGGGGTAGAGGGAAGATAAAAACAAAGCCTGACTCATAAGTTTAATCTTGGTTTTAAGATTATGGAGCCAAAAAAAAAAGACAAGGTCCAAAAGGTGAAGCTAACACATTAACAAAGATTTAAGTCCACCATAACAAAATGAAACCACTTTAGGCAGTCACTAAAAACAGAACTAGACAGAACATAAAAGTAAGAACTGTTTGAAGTTCTAAATTAATAGACATCACTCAGGACCAAGGCAACCATGGATGGAAAATAAAGTTCAAACCCTCACACTTAATACAATCAACCTTGTATAAAGCATAACCACTTATGATATTGTTTCTCATTAACATGTGTGATTATGCACTTCCCTTCTCTGAATTCCACCTTTAGCGAGCTTCATACTGAACAACTGCAGTAAACAAAAGGTTTTGACATTAATAGGAGAGTGATCAAAGAAAATGCGAGTGCATTTCTCTTTGAGATGTGCAAGGACTTCAAGGAAAAATATTTCAAGAGTTAAACAGTTAGACAGTTGACATTCTGTGACTAAAAGTTGCGGCCTGTTATCAGTTTTTGGCTAGAATAGAAATCATAGATATAAAACATCATACTGATGGCCTGATAATACACGTTACACAATCACATCTCAAAACTTTCACAAGAAAAGTTCATGCATATTCAAACACCCAAAACTTTTCTGCACACACACAAAAACCCTAAACTTGTATCTGGTTCAATGTGCATCAAAAGTTTCATTTATGGTGCAATCAACTGTCGATTGGATAACAAAATCAACGTTTTGGTAGCTGTTGTAATGCTGTCTGGTACTGCGAGTTTGTAACAGCAATGAGAACAATTTTATTAAATTTATTGAACTATTAACATAGATTGATGAAGGTAAATAAAATGATATTAACCTGGTTGAATATCTGATAACAGTACAAGAACATAAAGAATAGAAGGAAAGAAGATAAATGATCAAGCTTCATCCTGAATTATTGAAATCTTCTCACATAGAATTTGAGTTGCTTCACCAAATCTCAAAATTCAACCGAAAGCATAATTGCTGAAATGGTTCATGAACTTGTTCAAGACTGCATATCCAAAGATAGAAAACTCCCAAACTTGAAAATGAACTAAAAGCAAAAGCCTAAAAACATTAAAAGATCCAAATATAGCTCATAGACCACTGACAATCACAGACTCATCAAAATTGGAACTTAGCCTAATACAACTAAAATATAATAAAAAGAAGTCTGATAGTCTTCAACCTGCCATCTTGGTTTTTATCTATTTGTCGGTTGTTTGCAGCAGTAGATTACTCCTTGAAGACACAATATGAACATGCACGTAATTGTATATTTTCAGGAGAGGATATTTGATTTAATATGAGAGGTTTAACATCGTTTTCTTTTTTTTATTTGAACATGATTGTCACAGATCCTAAAATTTTGCAGTCTTCGTCTATTATCTACTTTCTCAGAATTAACATATGTCCTATAAACCATTCGTTTGTGCAACCTCAACTTCTTCATTGCTGTTTAAACTAGTAGCAAGTGTTTTAATGGCAATTTACCCTTAGCTTGAGAATCTCACATAAGCTTTAGCAACAATTTTTTTCCTTAAAAAGCCAGAAAAAAACTGGCCTAAAATTACAAATGCCTAAATCCAGTATTGGGTCAATAACCACAGAGAAAATAAATCCATAAACAAAACAAATATGTACGGCGAGCTTCCTAAGCGCAGCATCAAAAGAAAGAAACAATTCTTGATACCTTTACATCCAAACCACATTTTGAAAACCCAAACTACCATCAAGATGCCAATTTCTAAAGAAAAGAAAGCCCAAAAGAATAAGCTGCTCAGACTGCTCAGACAGACAACGAGCAAAAAGGGGAAGACAACCTCCAAACAGTAAAACATGCTGTTCCACACAGTCAGACAGTGCAACTCATAGCACAAAGAAGAAAACCTAATTTAAATAGTGTGACCATTGGTATTTAAACCAAATTAGATAACTGAACTGAGTTTATTTTCGGGTTTCTTCTAAAAATCTTTTTTTTGTTTAAGAAATAAATCTCTTCCATTGTTATCCCTTACTCAAATTAGGTACTACATAAAAAAAATTCTCAACATATATATATTTATTTATTTAAGGCTTCCCCAATTTGAATCTGATTGTTTTAAACTTGATTACTGTAACTAAGAGTGACAAACCACATGGCTATCTGCAAAACTTTCCTTATCGGGCCACAAATGAACACAATAAATACAAAAAATGGATATACATATAAAAAAGATTAAAATGAAGGAAAAAGTAGTAAGAAAACAGCATTACTTCTTCGGGTTCGCTTCTTGTAAAGAATGCGGTAACCACACTCCCGGCATTGTATCACATCTCCATGCTTCAACGTGTTCTCTTGCCCACAGTCTTTATAAAGCCCAAAAAAAAAAAGTCAAAATCAAAGATATGGCAAATTTTAGGGTTTATTTACGGATGAAAGGGTTATACTACCTCCACAGATATAGGTAACAGGTTCAGGCTGCGGATCCATTGATGCTCAAGCTTTTCAGACTAACCTACACAAAGTGAACAGATTTTTACATAAATCAAATCAACTCAAAGACCAACCAAATTGTGTAAAGAAATAACCCAAAACTGAATTAGCCAAAAAAAAAAAGATATTTTAGTTCAGGGATCCTGTATAAAGGACAGAGAAAAGAGGAAGAGTACAAGCAGAGAAATGGAGATACTGAGGCTGGCCAAAAGGTTGCCGACGCTGAGTTTGGAATAGAAGCGGAAGCAACTCAACTCGTCAGGCGGTGGGTTGGGGTATAAAAAGGTTCACTTGTATTTAATATAGGAAAAAAAATATTGCCCATTTGTTTAATTTTTTTAATAAATTTATAGGCTCATTTGTTAGATTTGCATTCGATTGCTTCAAGCCCAGATTTAAAGGCCATAAGCCCATTTACTGACATATTGAATCAATTTATGATCTTAATCCAAAATTCAACTAATTTTTATTATTCATAGGACGTATTTTTTGGATTAATTGAATCCATGATTTTTTAATTTTGAGCTAAATTTTATTTTAATTTTTAATTTTTAAAAGTATTAATTAAATTTTAATTGTGTTATTTAATTTTTATCTTTTTGTTTATAAAACCATTTAAATTAAGAATAAATGTCAATTGATGTCACATGAATAATTTCAACTACCTCATAGAGGGATCAAAGTAAAATTTTACTCAAAGCTTAAGAGTTAAGGATGTTATTATTGTAAATTTTTATATTTCAAACATATGTTATAAAATATTAAAATTTAAAATAATATATTTTTATTTTTATTGTAATATAATTTATTAGTTAAATATTTTTATTTTAAAAAATTAGATTTGAAAAATTAAAATTCATTGATAAATTATAGTAAAAAATGTTATTTTCTATAAAAAAAATATTTTCTATTAAAAATATTAAATATTTTCTTTTTTTCTTTTTTCAAATTTATTTTATAGAATTTATTTTATAAAAAAAATAAAAATAAAAATAAAAATAATTAAATAAAAAATCTATTTTTATGTTTCAAAATATTATAATTTTAAAACGGTTTAGACTTAAAACTCTGCAAGAACATTTTAAAATTCTCTACAATTTAACTTCAAGCCTTGGGTTCAAACTTTCCTTCCCCCTTTTTCCTTTTTTGGAATCCTAAAAACCCCTATTTTCTTTAACCCGAAACCCACACACCATTCATTAAAGTTCAAAATGGTGTTGCTCAAATCCTAGCAACAATTCAAACCCAAATGAGTCAATTTAAAGCTAAATAAAAGCTAAAATTATATTAATGAACCAATAGTAAATTTCAAAATTTAATAAAATAAGATGTTTACAGTTAATAATCGACTGCTCCTCTATTATTCTTGTTAAAATTTATATCAAAACTTTGGTACCCTTTTAGAATGCATGATAGTTGATTACTCCTCATGGCTAGTATATGGCAGTTGACTCCTCTAACTAAAGTAGTTAACTACCCTTATGGTAAGCCTTCTTACTTTGATTATTTAAGTCCATAGTCAAACTTTCTTAGCCATGGAAGATTATTTTAAACTATTAAATAGAGTTAACATGATTATTCTTGAATCAACATTTTCATATTTTGAAAATATTTTCAACAATATAAATGTTAAATCTAAATTAGCTAGGCCAGTTATCATATATAACAATAGACTATAACCCGTGCGATGCACGAAATAATTTTATTCATTTAATATGAATATAAATACAAATTAATCTTTTTAAAATTATATTCAAATCTTTAAAACTCATAACATATATAAAATTTATATATATTGACTTGTTATTAAAAAATAAATTTTATGAAAACAGAAAAAATTATGTCTTTTCTTTGGATATTTTTGTTTACAATAATATTTATACACTTGTAAAATTATATCAAATAAAAATAAATTATGTTTTTTTAAAATAAAAAAATATATTATTGAATGATAAATTAAATAATAAAAGAAGTATTAACACATTTTCACTTTAGTAATCTTGACTAAATTGTTATACAAAATATGAAAAATGTTAAAAAATATGTGAAACAAGAAAAGATAAATTGAAAAAAATATTATTTTTCATAAGAATGAAACTGTAATAACATAAAATATATCTTAACAAATTTATTAAAAAAATAAATTGCAATAGTAATAGAATATATCTTAGAAAAAAGTTACTGAAAAATAAAAAAATTAATGTATAACACATTACATCTATAATCTTAAATTTGTAGAATAATTTTTTAGTGGCAATTAATATTAAATAGATAATTTTTAAATTAATTTTTTAAAATTTAAAATGGATATAGTAAGTGATAAAGATAATATTAAACTTTTTGCATTTATTTTAATTATAAATTTGATAATTAAAGTTTAAATAGATGTAATAATTTTGATAATTTTATTATTTAAAGATTTAAAATGAAAATTTTTAAAACTTTAAAAATCTTACATAAAATTACTTGAATTTTTAATGTCTTACGTAAATTTTTTAAAAAGATAATTTTTTAAATCAAGATAAAAATATTATTGAAATATTTAGATATACTTAATCTTTATAATTTTTAAACATGTTTGAAAGATTTTGATAAGTAAATAATTTTTTAAATAAGGTTATTTGATAAACAACTAAAATTATTTATTAAAAAAATAAATTTCATATTTCATATTTTTAATTTTACAATATATATCTCTAAATTGATTTGATTTTCAATTATAATTTAAATAATTTTGATATTTGAATAAATTTAAAATTATTTAATTTGTAATTAAAAGAAATTATCTTATTCTTTTAAAAAACTATCATATGCGTCATTTAAAAGAGTTGTCCACATAGACGCTTATGTGGCAAATTTGTTTGTATATGTTATTATATAATATATACTAATTTTTTTTACCCGTGCCATGTACGAAGTTTTTTTATTATATTTTTTTATAGTTTAAAATTTTAATTTATATTAATTTTTATATTATATATAGATAAATAAAAATATCATAATCATTTATAATTTGTAGTTTAAAACTAAAATAATTGTCGATATATAAATTATTATGATAGAATCTAAATAAGCATTATGAAAGTTTTAGATTATGAAAGTAAAATTATATAGAAATATCAATGAGAAAGTTAATTTTTTCTTCACAATTACATAAATTTTTTAAAAGTATATATTATTTTAGTATAAAAACTAATATTTACACATGTGATATATTATGAAAGATTTTTTCATATTTAAGTTTGAAACTTTATCTTGTCAAATTTTTACGACAAAAAAAATGTTGATTATGAGAAAAAATCATAAATATATATTTAATAATTATTTAATTTTAAAAAATCTAAATTTTTAAAAAATTAGTTTATCCAAGTTTAATTTTAAATTAAGATAAAAGAATTTAGTATAATTTTAAATTTAGATATGTATGTAATTTTAAATTGAGATAAAATATTTTTTTATTTTAAATTATAAAAAATAAAGACAAAAATTGGTAAATAACAGTGATTCAACCATAAATTTTATTAATTTAAATTTATATGAATATTAATTTAGACAATGTATAATTTTTTTTATTATTTTTAAGATTTAGGAATTTAACATTTTAAAACTATTTGAATTAGATAAGAGTGAAATATAAGAAGATATATTTTATTATATTTAAATTACGATAAATCTTATATATTTGGAAAGATTTTGATAAATGTAAAATTTGAAACTTTTAAAATTTTTAAAAACTAAATAATTGATTTAATAAAGTTATTTGAAAATATCTTACGTATCACTAATATAAGTTGTCCACCTAAGCATCCATATAAGTAAATCTTATCAAGTTTTTATGTATGTTGTAATATAATATTATATATGATTAGATTAGTTGGATGTTACTTGCTACTACTTTTTTTAAGTCAAAAAGAAAAATTTTTTTATTTTATTATAAGGAGCTACAAAGAGAATAACATATATCTAACATGTTATCATTTATACATTTTACTAAAGTACCAAGTATGTAAATATATTAAAATTAGCATATTTACTTACTATAAAATTTTTATTAATTTAATTTCGTACATTATGTTTAGAAATTCAGGAATCTTGAGCATAACTAATTAATTAATTTTACTATAAAATTTTATTACACTTGCAATTATACTTTTAAATAACTTGTTAGATATAATTTAATTTTTGTAGCAAATCGTTTGACAATCCAAAGTTCGTTCACTGGTAAAAGTCTTAGTAAAGAGTTATTACCAAGGTCTAAATCTCTACAAGTATAAAAATTTGCATATTTATTAATGGATAAAGAGTTTAGGTACCATGTGTTATCTGGATCAAAACATAATTGGATTTGAGTATCGTGTAGAGGGTAAGCAAAAGTCGATTTGAACTGATTAAACCTACCGAAACCAAATGACTTCAGTTGGATTGGTTTGATTTATTCGATTTTGGTAATAATTTTTTAGATCGGTTAATTGGTTAACTCGATCAATTTTTTATTTTTAAAATTGATAATTAAACTGATTGAATTAATCGACTTTATAATAAGTAAAGGTAAAAAATTTGAGATAAGTATTTTTATTTTTTTTTTCTTGTAAAATATTGCTGAAATTATTAAATTTTTTAATGATTTAGCTTGAATGATACTTGAGTTTGAGTTTTATTAAATTGAATTTATATTTAAATAATTATTCATATTAGGAAAAAAATGATTAAAAAATTTAATTATTTAATTGAACTGACCGAACCGAACCGATTTTGATCAGTTCGATTATGGTCGATTATTTAAAAAATTTTGATCAGTTCGATTATTTGTTGAATAAAAGTTGATTAAGTCGATTATTGATTTTTTTAAACCACAATGACCGAAGCAACCAATTGCTTATCGTATACCCAAAAGGTGCTATTAGAATTTGATATAGATATCAATCCTCTTATTCAAATTCACATTATTAATTGGGTAATTGATTCAAGTGTTGTGAGCTACTTGGATCAAAATATAATTGGATTCAGATACCAAGTATTCAAAAGGTGCTATTAGAATTTGAAACATGTATTGAGCCTCCTACTCGATCCCATTAAATACTTGATTATAAAATATTTGAACCAAATATAATTGTGTAGGATAATATGAATACCTAATTATATAGTACCCATTGCCATCTTACTATTGATTTCTTTTAAATTCTCTTTTATATTCTCCAAATCCAAAAGAACATTACCAAACATGGGAAAATTTAAATTAGTAATAAGTATACAAAGCAAAAAGAGTTTATAGGAATTAGGAAGCTTTGGCTTAACAAAAAATGCTACAAG